GGATTACGCCCACTTCAGCCCCTTAATGTCTCTACAATGTATGTTTCAAGTAGAAGTAAGCATAAAAACCTCAAACCTCTATTTGGAGCAGTTCTCACGATAGAACACTACTAGCTAGACCATTCAATAAGTTAACAGAATATAGCAGATGGAAAATGTCGTGCCAGGATTTCAAGTAAGCCTGAAAACACACATGCAGTTAAAGAAAAACAAAACAAACAAACAAAAAAACCATAAAAAACTTCCTTTTAGCAAGCAAAAATGTGTTTACTGTCACAGAACTACAATAGCTAAGTGATGCAAAATAAAAAGCACAATGCACTTCAAAATAAGGCATTTTATCTTCCATTCCCCACTCTCCAACAGGTAAGATGAAAGTGCATTTTTAAAACTCTCTCTTTTTACTAACTGTGTGTGTATTTAATTGTATGTATGATCAGTACACCATTTCTTCCTGTGTTCCAGTTCCAGTCCATTGCCCCAAGTCCTGTGGCTGCATACCACCAACCAGAGCTTGGCCCCATACATTTCACTCTCACACTTCAGGTATTTATAAAGCTATGACATCCCCTCTCAGCCTTATCTTCTCCAGGCTGAACAGCCCCAGTTCTCTCAGCCTGTCGTCACACAGGAGAAGCTCCAGACCCCTCACATCTTTGTGTCTCTCTGTTGGACTTCCTCCATAAGTTCCCTGTCTTTCTTGAACTGGGGAGCCCAGAACCGTGCACAGTGCTCCAGATGCGGCCTCGCCAGGGCAGAGCAGAGGGGAAGGATCACCTCCCTTTCCCTGCTAGCTGCGTTCTCTGTAACATACCCCAGGATACTACTGGCCTTCTTGGCCACCAGGGCACATTGCTGGCTCATGGCCAACCTGTCGTCCACCAGGACCCCTATATCCTTCTCTGCAGAGCTCCTTTCCAGCAGGTCAGCCCCTAGCCTGTACAGGTGCAGTGCAGTTATTCCTCCCCACGTGTAGGACCTCACCCTTGCCTTTGCTGAACCTGATCAGGCTCCTCTCAGCCCATCTCACCAACCTGCCCAGCTGTTGCTGAATGGCAGCACAGCCTTTTGCGTGTCAGCCACTCTGCCTAGATTTGTACTATCAGCAAACTTGCTGAGGATGCACCTCTATCCCTTCATCCAGGTCACTGATGAAGATGTTGAGTTAATTGAGACTCTGTGCTGCTGATGCAGGGAAGATGCAGCACCTGAAGGCCAAATGCACAGAAAAGAATGTCCCGCGGAGACGCTAAGAAGGATTAAGCTATGTTAATTCATAAATAGCAACAGACACTCCAGGCTATACACCACATTTTGTATTTTGCTCCACAATACCACAATTTTAGCTAAATTGCCTCAATTTCCTCGAGCAACACTTTGAAAGCCATCCTAGGAACAGTCAAGGACAAATTAGTTTACCATCCCGAGGAAAGGCAAAGAAGTTTGCTGACTTTTTGCACTTCTTGACTACTACACTGAACTATTTTAACTTCAGTGCTAGACTCCAGGCTTCAGTACTAACATAAGCCTGTGAAAGAAGGTCCTTACTGCCCTGAAAGAACGTTGATTCAAGCCTCCAGTCAGCTTCATTGAATGACTAATAGTGTCAAAATTATGCACTGATTTGAATCATTCTTTAGCTACATTTTTAAACACAAAAGCTTTTGCTGGAAACAGCTCAGGTCTTCTCATTGTAAAACAGAAGCTAGGAAAGCAAACAAACAAAAAAGCTTTTCTATGTATGTGGAAAAATTCTGGAGGTGTGAGTGCATGAAGGGAAGGGGAGAGGAGAGGAGAGGAGAGGAGAGGAGAGGAGAGGAGAGGAGAGGAGAGGAGAGAGCCTTCACCCAGGAACTGGCTTTGGAACTATGAGGCTGTCCTGCACCTCCAGGTATGAGAGTCCCTTCTCAAAAGCAACAGGACAAGCAGGCAGATCCAGCTCCTCAGTAGAGCTCCTATGTGCACAGAAGGCGCTGCCCAGGATGAGCAACACTGTTTGGAACCCAATGAATCAAATTAGCCAGCTGCATTTAAACAGGAGGTTTTGATTCTATTGAATCAGCATCTTCTGATGGCACAAGTGCGATTTCTTATATCTTTCATATCAGCTCCAACAACACAGCTCTTTAGGACAGCTAAAGATGACAACAGATGACAGTTAGTAAGCACTAACAAAATTTAAAAAAACCTTTGTTCTCTCCTCTCTACCCTTTAACCAAATACAAATAAATACTGAGTAAAATAAATCCATGAAACAAGAATTCTAGCTAGAGATGCAGTTAGTTTCAGAACAGGATTTTTGTCAGAAATGTTTTACTTCATTTTATTACAAGTTCTAACCCAAAACAGACAGCAGAAGGTAAAATGCTAAATTTTATATAATTTCCTTATGATTTGACAGCTTACAGTGCAGACAGGATCTCTGTTTTCTTTCTGATGCTTCAGATGTAAAGCTGAGGTACTGGGGTACATTAATGCTGCTTGGATGAAGTTAAAGTTGCTTTTGCCTAAGCAAACTTCAGCAGCCCACTTCGACCATCAGGCTCCATTTCAATTTCCTGAACAGATGTATCACTTCTTTGCATCAGGAAAGACAGGCAGGAGCTGAAGTTGTATGGGCTTATAACCAGTGGCTCATTTTGGGCAGGGTTTAGAAACCTGGCATCTGAGTCATGTGGAAAATGAAATTACTTGGAATTCTTCTCAAAGTACCACTAGGAACACTTTGCTCATTCATGTCTTACTGAACACAACCAACGTCCCGAACACAAACACTTCTAAGCTATTAACAGCATCTCTTCCATCAACTCTTCTTTTACTTCTTCCATTTGCTGAAAAAGTAGAACTGAAATATTCTGCAGGTGGCCTGAAATCCCACTGGAGTCAACACATACATCCCATATGGACTTCAAAAGAGCCCCATTCAAAACAATACAAGTCAAACACTTCTGACTGCTGTGCAGCATAGCTTTCACGATTTACATTTATATCCTAATGCTAAAAACAAAAATTAAAAACATAATAATAACAAAAAAAAAATCCGTGAAACAACCAATGCAACACAAACTTGTTCATTCTGCCTTCTTACCTACAGCAATGCCACTTTGTTTGCCATCACAGGATGTATTCTGTAGTAATTCCGTGACAAGTCAGAGAAAAAACAGTAATTCACATCAGTATTTCTACTCTCTCTCCTGAACAGTACACAGTTTGCTCAGTAAGTATTGATGCTTTATCTTCCAAGAAAGAGACAGAAAAACACAATAAATAAAATCCCATCAATTTCATACAATCCACTGTATTTAGTGAAGGTGGTAGAAATAGGTGAGGATGGTGAGAAAGCAGATTTAAATACTGAGAGAAGTTGGGCTGGGGGGGGGGGGGAGATTACTACATATGATGATGTGAGGCTGAAAGACTGGACCTGCACTACACAGGAGGTATGCAAACATGGGAGAGTGGAATAAGAAGAATGTTTTGTGCCAACTGTTGCTGTTTAAAAAAAGAATGTCATCATCCACTTGTCCTGAAATGTTAGTGAGTTTTAGAGGAGAGGAAAAATTATAGGCAGAGAAATGCAGCAAGAACTGTATCTGTTAGACTTTCTCCTGGGGTACATAACCTACATAAGCTCTGAAGAATGAAGAAACACCTTTCCGATCCCTCCCTTGAACTTAGAGGAAATGATACCCAAGCTCCTATGTGAAAAGGAAAAAATAAAGGGCTGAACAGCTTATGGAGCTTTCCCTTTCTTATTAGTGATACATTTCAATGACTTCTGTTTGGGTAAAAAGAAAAAAGATGCAATCAACTGGATGTGAACTGAAAAGATACCCCCTTGTTCTTTTTTCTAATATCCGTGGAATTTTTTTTGTATATAGAATCACAGAATTATAGGATTATAATTATAATTATAGAGACCCTTAAAGGCCATCCAACTGCTGAACAGGGACATCTACAGCTCCATCAGTGCTCAGAGCCCCGTCCAGGCTGACCTTAAATATCTCTAAGGATGGAGTATCCACCACCTCTCTGGGCAACCTGTGCTTCACCACCCATAGTGTAAAAAACCCTTCTTTCTCGTATCTACTCTAAATCTCCCGTTTACTTTGAAACCATTTCCCCTTGTCTTATCACAACAGATCTTGCTAGAGTCTGTCCCCTTCCTTCTTACAGCCTCCCTGAAAGGCTGTGTCAGGTCTCCAAGTAGCTCAGGAAATGTAATTTGAAAGAGTACATAAGCTCATCTCCCGCAGCTAAATAATCTCTCTACTCAGTCAGTTAGCATTCTAGCTGTAGTTGGACTCCTGAGAACGTGGGACACGTAAAGCAGAAAAACACATTTGATACACGCTTGTGCTCACCTTCTCCAAAAGCACCTGTGTATGTCAACCAACTTCAATCGAACGTAATGGAGCAATAGAGCTTCAAGGACATTAAGCTCCTATGAGTTTCATAAAAACAGGAGTCACAGAGATAAGAAATACCCTGCTAAGGTTCTTCCCTGAGGAAAAAGCTGTATTATGCATTTCACATCAGAAAAGCCTAGAAGTTCAGCTGTGAAACTTCAAACTAAATTTGTCTAGTCAGTAACCTGCTGGAGCTATTAATACTAAATATAAGACAATCAACTAATGTGCTACAAATAATACTTGTTCTAGCACACATATTCACAATGCATATTTGACCACAACAACGCGTGTGGTTTTCATGCAATAAACACTTAAGATTCTTTGAATGTCACAGCTTTTTGCACAAGCCTCATGACTTGGCTATCAGCAGATGTTACACTTACACACTAGCTGACAGCACACCTTCTCCTTAACCCTACCTGCAGAGAGTCTGCAATATCCATACGGTCCACATTCACAAAGAAAACAGCAAAGATGTTTACAGACCTAAAAATAACCAAACCCTTTCAGCAATATAGGTGAAACCAATGCAGAGATCTGGGAAGTAAGAAAGTCAACCGTGAGGCTGGAAGCAACTATCATTCCTACCTGGTTCAGTGCAATTTCTGACATTCTGCTTCCCCCCGTCCCCTGGGACTTCCGTCGTGTTGTCCTCATTTGCTTGCAGTAGCTGTCTCCCGCTCCACTTGCCATCATTTTCCACAGAGTAGCTCAAAGCATCGTAACCTAAAACAAAAGAACAGTAGATAGATGAGACTGTACCAGAAAAGCAACTTGTGATCCTGTTCCTGAATGCTTAAAGCATCTGCATGCCGTGGAAAGGAAGCGATTTTCCCACACTAAACAATGTTGGCATGGCCTCACCTTGAGTACTGTGTGCAATTTTGGGCACCACAGTACAAAAAGGACCCAGAGTTGGACTCTTGTGATCCTTGTGGGTCCCTTCCAGCTTAGGATGTTCTGTGATTCTATGATTTTAAACCTACTGCTCTTTGTATTAAGAACAGCAGTGTTTCTTAAATCACACTAGAAAGGTACATCCTGTTCGCTCCACATTCCAGTGAGTCCCAAAAACTGGAGGAGTCTGGTTCATTCCTCCACAACTTCCCTTATTGAAAAAGTTCTTAACAGAAGTGGGTCTAAGATCTCACAAGAAGTACAGAGCGATAATGGATTTAAAATCAGAGCATCCTCCATTGCTGCCTGGAGAAACAAACAAAAAAGCACTAACCCCTGCTCCTCAGTCTGTTAGATCCATATCGGCCAAACTGCCAAGTTTCGCACATTCTGAAAAGACATTTAAGCCACTTCTGCTTACAACTGCCATCAAGCTTGCTGCTGAATGAGGCCTAAGAGATGCAGTGTTTGACACAGAAGTCAAGCAGGCTTCTTTGTGAATCGATAATGTGCTCCATAGGCGTTAGGAAAGCTCTGTCCCCTCAGACCAAGCGGTTCCTCGTGACTTCAGATGGAGTTCAGCAACGCACATAGCACAGAAAACAGAAGCAGGGGGACTGTGTCAGAGAGGACAGGGTACTGAGGTGTAAGAGCAATCACTGTTTTCGAATTACGTTTTGTAATAAATGTTGGAACAGCTACTTTCACCCAACTGGTCAACGGGGATCCATTTCAGTATCTCATCTCCAATGCAATCACAGTCAGTGAAGCTGGAAAAGACCACTAAGATCACCAAGTCCTGCGACCAGCCCACCCCACCGTGCCACTGCCCACATCCCTCAGTGCCACATCCCACGGCTCTGGGACTCCTCCAGGTGACCCCACCGCTCCCTGGGCAGCTGTGCCACTGCCTCACCGCTCTTTGGGACAAGGAACTGTTCCTAACAGCCAACCTGAACCTCCCCTGGTGTAAGTTAAAGCCATCACTTCTGGTCCTGTCAGTGCCTGATGATCCCAGAGAGAAGGCTCCTGAACACGTTCCCCACAGACCAGACACAGCTTTTCAATGCATTATGAAGCATTCGGTTCAGAAACATGAAGTAAGCAGCTTCTCACAGAGCAGAAAGCAACTGATAAAAATCTTTATAAGGATACAACCACGTCCACTCTCAAAGTGGTTATTAAGCCCAAATGCACCGTTATTCCCATCCAACATGGCTCTCTGAACTATAAAGGTTACAGGGAATGGGGCCAGAGCATTCCTCCGAGATACTTCAGCAGTCTTCAAATCATCAAAAAATACCTACTGACATCAGAAACTTTATATTCAATGGATAAAGAGATAAGCCTTGGCCCAGCTGGTGCTACGCATTTTAGACCAGGGAGTCTGAGCTTATTCTCTATCATGCCTCAGCACATGGAGTCCTTCAAACACGAGGCGTGCATTCATTTACTGACTTCACATTTTCCAAACTTCAGCCATTTTGCTCTTACTTGCCAGTTTCTTTGCTAAGCTGACTGCAAAACCACTGCATGCTGTTGTTGGTCCTTCACAACCATCTAACATGTTTTTTTCAGCACTCCATGCAACTGCTGTTGAGAACGCTAAGAAACAAACCCCAAGCCCCTAGGCCAACAGGCACCAAAACAAGGATCTCCACTAAGAAAGCAAGGAAGTAGCAGAGAGCAAAAAAGTGGGGAGCCTGGAGCAAAACGGTCTCTGACTGCAGCAAAAGACTAAAGAAGCTGGCACCAGCACTTTGCCACAAAGAACAGAACAGTGGATCTTGAGAAGCAAGTGCAAGCAATCGCAGCTGGGCAAGCAACCGACTGAAAAGCTGACTCGCTGCGTACCAAAAAGTGTTTCTGTGCAGTAAACCTAAAGTCTCCTACAGCGCAGCATATCAAACCACACGCATTCTGGAACAGCTTCGTGACCCAAACTGATCAATTGGTTCCAGCCAAACACTGAACCCTGTGTTTTGCTGCCAGGCTTACAAGGCACAGAATGATTTTGGATATCAGTACGCAATGTAACATGCAATTACTTCATCTCATTACTTCTTATCTGTTCCTTGCTTTACTCCCCTACTCCCTCCCCTCTTTGGCTTTGCATTGGTGCTGCAAAGTGAAACTGTTTTAGTAATGTCAACAAAAACAGCTGGCTGTTTTCCATGGCATTCTTGGCATAATGTGGCTTGCTCTTAGACGTCATGTCTGCCTGCTTAGCCAAAAGCACATGCTCTATGCATCCAGTAGTTTTAAATTCAAGTGAGGGGAAAAAAAGAAAAAAAGAAGAGGGAAAATGACAGTTGCACAGGCAGCTTTAAGAAACTTGTTTCCTAAGCAAAAATAAATAAATGAATAAAATAGTCTGCACCTTGATAAACTAACCACCACTGTTTTAAGCTTTAGGCACTTTGTACTGCTCTCCACTTGCTTTACAAACTTTAGAGATTACTGTTTGTTTAATCTGTGAGCATGGGTGAGAGCTGCGAGTTAACAAACCTCACTGATAGAAGTGGCCTGAGTTTCTCAAAATGAGCACACACAATAATGCAACATCAGGCATCTTCCTTAATTATAAACATACACGGGTAATCAAGCTAAGCAGTTTCAGTTCCACATAGTTGCTGTTTTTCCAAGCAGAGAGGCTCTTCTCCAAGCAGTCGGAGTGCTGCTGCACGTTGCTGAGGGGAGGGAAGGCAGGAGGGAGAACCCACAAGTGCTGCAGCAACCCAGAAGTTCCTGCAGAAACCTCTTCTGCTTCCTCCCAGCCCTAAACAGCTTTCTGGCAGCTGTGTCACAGCAGTACTTTCACAATACCAACCTCAAAACCTTGCCTTAGTCACCTCTCTTCTATACCCCATTTGGTTCAATAGAGCAAGAGGAAATAAAACGCGTGGGTGAAATGAGATGCTTTCTTCAAAGTATATCATAACCTTCTATTTATCTGTCCTAAGGCAGAAATTACGTTGACTTCAAGCTTCAGATCATCCAGAGGTGGTGGCGTCCGAGCCTCAGCTCCACCAAACACAAGCCTGATCCATTGATTTCAATATATGCTAAATCCCAGTCAGCAAAATACAAAAAAAATATCTGATATTCTGCGGAAGGACTGTCAAAACAGCACAGAGTAAGCAAAATTCTTCTTTTCAAGGACAAACTGCAAAAGTTAGAAACAGAAAGCCAATAGTCTTGTCTCTTTAAATAAGACAGCAAGTGCTTTTGTGTTTGTTTGCTGCGAACCCCTGTAGCTGCCAAGCCAGGGTGGCAGCCCTGTGACAACACGTACTCCAGCGACATCACTGATCTGCCCTACTTATAACAATGAAACAGAGTGGAAAGAAGAACTGGTCAAGTTGCCCAGAAGTTCTGAAAATGCTCTGCATGTGATCTAAAACTCTATGTGGGAGCTCATGAGTTCCTTACGCTATTCCAGATGGCTCTGGCTGCAGTTTACAACTTTCTGCACTGCAGGAACAGAGCTAAGCACATCCTAAGCTGCACTTTTCAGCAGGAAGAGTACTATTTCATAATGTCACACAGCACTCTGGTGTTCCTCAGTCACACACTGATCTCACAGTATCTGCTTTCAGCATCAAGCTGCAGGAACCTCAGCTAGTCAGAAATGCAGCTGGACCTCGGTGGTGATGATAAAAAGACCCCAACCCTGCCACTGAGATGAGGGCATTCCATGAGGCAGGCCATAGCATGGCGGGCTTTTCATCTGAGTCTTCAAAAATATATGATACCCTATAAACAGGGGGAAAAGAAAATACAGGGAGGTGACTGTCCCCCTGCACTGGCCAGGGCCCTCACTGCTAGAAAGACAGGGGAGACATCATGGCTCTCTGCAATGACCTGGAAGGAGGCTGTGTGAGGCGGGGTCAGCCTCTGCTGGCAGGGAACGGCCATAGGACGAGAGGGGATGGCCTCACGTTGTGCCAGGGGAGGTTCGGGTTGGCTGCTAGGAACAATTCCTTCTCCAGAAGTGATTCTGCACTGACACAGCTGCCCAGGGAGCGGTGGGGTCACCTGGAGGAGTCCCAGAGCCGTGGGATGTGGCACTGAGGGATACGGTAGGGCGCGGTGGGGATGGCTTGATGATCTCGGACATCTTTTCCAACCTTAACAATTTTAAGAGAAAAAATGAAGTTGGGAGGAAGTAAGGGGGATGAATCAGGATCTTGAGGTTTAACAAAGTCATGGAAGGCCCTCCTTGACTTCATGTGTGCAAAGCTGTAACACAAGTGCATCCCAGCACTGCTCATTCAAAGCAGGTCACGTCAGAGGACAAGAGAACCCTGAATGAACAGAGGAGAATGTGAAACACTCAGGCACAACGTTCAGATGGAATAACAACTTGAACCACGACGTATGACTGACCTACAACAGCAGAGGGTTTGGCCAACGATGCCAAAGCGCAATGAAGATGAAGCTGCTGTAAGCAAGGAGCTCACACAACTAAGGGCTGGCAAAGCAAAGGCTGGCCCAGCAGACAGACAAAAGGATAGATCTGTCACCCAGGCCTTTCCGAGGCATGATGCCTTGCTGCCAATGGCTTTGCATTGTTGGCAGTTATCCTCGTCTCTTGCTGACAATAAACTACTTTCTATGCAAACTGCTAGATCCTGCTGGCTGAAGCCAAAAACAGCACAGCTTTTCTGGAATAGGTTTGTCCTCCCTCCTCTCGTCTGTCCCTTTTATCTATTGTTTTGATGGTGGCGGTTTCGGTTTTCAGAGGGTTGTTTTTGTGTTTTTTATTTTGAACCAGCTGAATTATCTCCCTCTCCCTGAAACTTCCCTACAGTGAATACAACAGGAAA